ATTTGCCAAGCATCTTTTGAGAACTGTCTGCTCATTTCATTAGCCCATTTATTTAATTAGGCTGTTTGGTTTCTAATATTTAATTTATTCATTTTTTTCATATATTTTAGATATTAGTCCATTAATAAATATAGAACTAGCAAAGATAATCTCCAGTTTTGTGGGTTGTCTAGGTGCTTGTTTCATTTTTTATGCAGAACTTCTTTAAATGCTGATTTTTATATGTATGAATGTTTTGCAAGTCTGTACCACGTGCATGACTGTTACTAACATAGTTCAAAAGTAGATGTTGAATTCCCTGGTATTGGGAGTCCAGATGATTGTGAAAAATTGTGAGTGCTAGGAACCAAACCAAGCTCCTCCGCACTAAGAGCTTTTAGTCTCCTTAATAGCAACAAGCAATTCAAACTCAGAACATTTAATATACTCTCTTTCTCTCCATTCCTCCTTCCCTCTCCCTCCCTCTGTTTCTGTCTTTGTCTGTCTCTGTCTCTCTCTCTCCCTTCCCTGCCTTCTGTCTCCTTCCCCCTCTCTCTGTAATACATGGTATATTATGCATATATGTGGGCGAGCTTGCACATAAGGGTGCATGCAGAGGCCAGAGATTGTTGAGATACCTGCCCCAGTTGCTTCTCCTGGTTATTTTTGAGACAGCATCTCTCACTAAACATTTACTTCACTGTTTTGGCTACCTTGGCTGGCAAGTAAACCCCCAACACCTGCTTGTTTTTCTCCCATCTCCCATTGGTGGGGTTACAGTCGTAGACCAACACACCCAGCATTTCTACGATGTTGGAGATCCAAACTCAGGACCTCATGTTTGTTTAGCAGGTATGTTACTTTCCCAGCACTCTAAATTTCATGAAATTTAGCGAACAGATTCTTGTTATTATTTTCTGAACTACCGAAGTCTATCCCAGAACATCCTAGCCTAAGTTAATAACTTGAAGCCAAATGGCATTTCTTTCTTTAGCATTTTTTTTCTCTTTGCTCTTTTTTGTCCTCTAACAATTTCAGAGTTATAGGTCTTACGTTGAGACATGTGACCCATTTTGAGCTAACATTTTTTTTTTGTAGATTGAAGTAGGGATCATTTTCACTCTTTTGCATGTTGTACCTAGTCATCCCAGCACCATTGATTACAGAGACTCTTTTTTTTCCTGAAGTATTTTTTTTTATATCTTTGTTAAAAATCAGGGCTGTAACTGTGTGTTCTCATACTTACGTCCTGCATTCTCTTTTCCATACCTGTTTTTGTGTCTGACTATGTTGTTTTTGTTACTTTGTTTCTGTCATAGAACGTGAGATCATGTATAGTGTTGCCTCAAGCATTGTTCTTTTTGATCAGTTTGGAGATATTTATGTTTTAGGATTCTTGATATTATTAGCAAATACCTTATTTCTTCCAAATTTTCTCACAGTTTCTCATTATACAACCTGCAATGTCACCTTTGCTCCTAGATTTAAAAATAATCAATATATTCTCCTTATACCTTGTTATTGGACTGTAAGCCTATCTTCAAAGTTTAGTCTCCAACTCACACCATTTTTATTCTGTTTTCCTTTCTATAAGAAATTCAAAAACCCTATTTGAGGTGTTAGTAGTAATTGAAACATTTATACTTTATTAGAATGGGCCCATAATATTTCCTAGACCCAAACAGTAGAGATTATTTTAGTTGTTTTAACTATGTACTTAATTTATATTGCTAATTAAATTATACTGTTGAGTGCATTTTCCAAAGTAATATTCGCATTCCCTTTTTATTCAAAGATGTGTTCTGTGCATGTGTGTGTGTGTGTTATCTCATACATTTCCATCCTACTGTTGACTCTAATAACAGAGAATACATATAATTTTCATGAAACATTAATGAGTCATGTAAACTTTAATTACCAAGAAGCCTCTACTTGATTTCTAAATGTACAATTAACAGATAAAATACATTTTAAAAGAAAATAATAGGGACATAAAAAGAAAATATCTGCCTCTCATCATTTCTATAAAATGATGTTAACAAAGTTTAGAGAATGAGAATGCAATTTCTGAAATTCTAAACACAATTATTCTGCATACATAACCTCAGATGTTAACATTTTTCATTAAAATATAAAAAAATTAAAACACAACTATACTTACCTATAAAATATAATTAATGCCTGAGGAAATCATGTCTAAGGAATTTATATGGCAGCCAATGAAATGAAGTAGTAAAAGACCAGAAGTGAAAATGTCCTTTTCATTATTTCCTTCTAGAGCCTTGTGATGCCAGCCAGTCCTTAAGTAGATGGAGACGTGATGAAGGAATGCGCCTGTTCATCTCCATGTCACCCAGGTTCTACAGGGTTAGCGTTAGAAATTCTTAAATGAATATATTCACTGGCACACTGAAGCAGGAGAACATAAGATTTTTAAAATTGTGACACTTCAACATTTAAAACCATCACCTCTAATACATTAAATAGCATATCCCATAATGTAAGGATTGGAGTTAAATAGATACTATGTAGAAATGTGAAGTGTTTCGATTTTACTATGCAGTACTCTCTAATTAGCTCAAGCTTGAACTTTTATGAGTAACTGTATTCTCTAAATGTTACAAAGCATATCCCTTAATCATCAAATAAAATAAAGGATTATGTTAAGTTGGTCTTGCTGATGCAAGCCTGTGTACTAAGCTCTGCGGGAGGCTGGGGCTGGACTACCTTATGTTAGGGCCACTGTATAATAGAGAGTGAGTTCAGAACACTGTGGACTCTTAAAGATCATACTTTAAAGTAAAAGTAAATGAACAAAGAGGACTGGGGTTATACCTGAGTGGTAGAGCACTTGCCTAGTATTGTGCATGAGGCCTGATTCAATCCATAGTACCATAAGTAACTTATTAACTACCTAACTAAAGAGTAAAAACTCAAACAATTATTTTAAATATAGGAAAGTAAATACCTTGAGAACGAAAATTAAAATAGGAAAAGTGCTGCCTAAATTTGAATTCTCTGGATTTGAAACCAGGCAAGGTTTGGTTATACCATTCTGTGGCACTGCAGTTGACAGGTACTTATTGAGCTATTGCTTACGCAGATATGTCAGGGAAGAAAAGATGACTATGTGAATCTGTCATGGGGCTAAAAGAAATAGCAAGAGTTTCAAAGGGAAATTGCAGAATTGAACAGAAAGAGCAGCGAAATGGGATTTCATTTAGCTCTGCTTCTTGAGAGGAACATTATTAGAATTAATCATAGAATGATCAGATTGGAAGTGTCTAAAAAAGCCTACCTTGGAGTTTTTTGGGAGGCAAAGAATGTGAGACAAATTCAGTTTCTTATTGTGACAGAATGATAAAGAAGCCATTCATGTCACAGATTGGGACTAGCTTGAGCTTCAGTGTGTTTCACGTTACAGTTCCCTCGCTGGGAAGGTGCAAGTACCAAGGACATTGATCAGAAGTTCATTGTCATCACAGAGTACATAATGAAGAGCATTTACTGGATGTTACCAGTGTTCTGGTTGTTAAAAAGATATAAGGTAGGAAAAGATCGGAAAAAAACGCTTCTTGGGCTTTATAAAGTCGTCAATTTAAAGTCAGCCTTTAGTATACTGAAGACACTAATCCTGAAGTAGGACAATAGAAACCTGATCCCAACATGCTAAGTAGGAAACCAGTACCCATCTAACTTATGTTTAAATAGTTCTCTTCAGTAAGACACTTGGCTTAAGTAAATTTTAGTGTATAAATAATGAAGTCAATACACATATTCCAACTCTTCCACATAGCTTCGATCCAGGCAGTGTCTATGTAAGCAATGTAAAACTATGAAAAGATTGCTAAAGCTGCACACAGAACAAGATGGAAGTCAATAGATCTGACTGGGGTATGTTAGTGGTAGTAATTTTTCTGTAACCTTTTGGAAGTCGTTTTAGTAAATATGTAAGTTAAAAGGATTAATAATCAGTATTCATTTGAGACCTTTGTATAATAAATCTAGCATATATTTTATACCTTTGTGAGTAGCCAGATATTAAAAATGATTTACATATCTTTCAATGCCCTATACCCTCCCATCAAACTCCTTTGTGTGTTCACTCTTCTTCAGCCAGTCAAGTTTGCTCTTTGCTCAGCGGATAGTCTTCCTTGTCTGTCTCCTCATGGCTTGCTCTTCTTTGACATTCAGGGCCTGGACTGACTCCCTCTAACAAGTCTTAAGCACAGGCTGCATCCCCTGACTCAACTCTCATTGTTTCTTTTAGAAGTTTCATGGTGTATTTTCTCCTCCCACATATTTACTGGTATGCTGTTTTCATCATACACTCTATGAAACCAGGGCTCTTTCTGTTTCTATTCTCTCCCTGGTAAGCATAGTAGAGATTCACATTTTCAACGTATATATTAAAATAAGAGAATGAATAAATTGTATAATTATATTTAGAATAGACACTTTGGAACACTCTTAAAGGGCAATATAATCATTTTCCTTAACATTTACTAATTATAATCTTTATATTTTGTATGACCCTTGAAAGATGATCTTAAGATTGTTTGTAATATAAAAATATATAATTTATTTTTGCTGTATTTTAGAGAACTGGATGGTAACTATTTTTAAATATTTTAATTTCCTAGGAATAATTCTAAATAAAATAAAAATAATATTAAACTTAAAATATGCTTTGCTCTAGTCCCTGTTCCCAGGACAGATGTTTGTGTAGATGTTTTAAGTAGTCAGAGGACATAGTTTTCTTGTATTTTATTCGAAGCTACATACAACTGTGAGTGCATCATTTTGTGCACAGTGGCTGCAGTCATTTTGCATTATCACCTTTTAGGTACCGTGAGCAGAGGTCACCTCATAGCAGTATTCACATAGCTGTGTGCACAGTGCAGTTTCAGCCTTTATCAAAAGTATCTAAATTTTATATGGCGTAGTAAGAAGAACAATCACCAGACTATGGCGGCTTATTTTTCATTTCACTTATTCTGGTTTTGTGATTTTTTTTTCAGAAATTGAGAAATTTCAAGGTTCAGATGGAAAAAAGGAAGACGAAGAAAAGAAATATCTTGATGTCATCAGCAACAAAAACATAAAGCTTTCTGAAAGAGTATTGATTCCTGTTAAGCAATACCCAAAGGTACTGCACGCAGCATGCACTTTGTTCTCACTGTGTTTGGGCAAAAATAGTAAATGTCTTGGTTTTCACTGACTCTTATGCGATAAATATGTAAGGGTTTGTTGTATGGATATATGCAAATACTTGGTACTGATACAGTCAGAAAAACTGAAAGTACAGTGATAAGGATCATTTTCAACTGAAGCCTAGTGAAATTTTATTTTGTACATGGAAAGCATAATTACATTCTAGTCATTTATTCAGCATGGGAGTGAATTTGTCCAGTTATGCACACAACATTATTAAGTTTTCTTTTTGATTTTATATATATATATATATATATATATATATATTCTTATTTTAAAAGGGAATAGAAAATATATAACATTAGCTAATCAATCACTAGAGTATTGTTATATCCAGGAAACGGTGTGTTACTGGTCTCTTGGTTTTTACGTTCTTGTCATTTATAGTCAATTTTAAAACTAATTATGGTATTGTTTCCAGTGTACTACATCTCTAAATATTCTTGTACTCATAAGTGGTTGATTATAATATAATATAGCAATCATTGACAAGGTTTCATGGGCAATATTAATTAATTTCAGTGGATGAAAGGTTTCTATTTTGGCAAATAAATGGAAAAAATCTAAAAATAGTTCAGATAAATCAAGCCGATAATATTCTTTCTAATGAGTGAATTTGAAGCAAGGACCATGTAATTATCTTAATAAATAAAGATTACAGAAGTGAATGCTATAGTTTACCAATTACCTTTTAATGTGATAAACTGGAGTAAATATAATTAAGTCAAATGCTTTGTTTACAATCACCTAAAATACGGAAATAGCTATTATATCAACAAACCATTTAATTTAGCTTTCAGATGATATTTTTAAGGCACAAAAGTTTTGGTTTTATTTTATTAAAACAGACTTAGTCTGTTGCAAGCAATGCATGGTCAGTAGAAATATGTTTTTGTCATAAGTGTTATTTGATTTTTGTGAATATCAAATTGGACCACCATATAAAAGTGCATGAACGGTTTTGTTGCTTAGCAAGTATGATAGCAATGTGTTGGACTATGAAGAAGGAATTAATAGTTTTATTAACCAACTACATTTTCAAATAGAGGGTTTTTTTCTTAATCTAAATACGGCATGACTTCATACTGTCCTTTGGGATAACACATCAGTCTGGTTTGTGAAACCATGACAATGAACTGCTTCTCTGTAGCCTCTGGCCCAACATCATTGACAACATGGAAGTCATTAAGAGACCTGAACGTATATATTGTTAATTGTGTGTATTGATAATGCTGAATATGAGTCTGTAATTAATTCATAATGGCAACTATTAAAACAGGGATATTATGTAGCATCACATCTTTATGTGTGGTATATTTTCCTAGTTAATTTGAAGATCTTCAAACACAAAAGTTTGGAAATTGTTTTTACTTAGATGTTTTGGAATCAGAATGCTTAAGCTAGGGCTAATGTTGGAATGCCACAGAATATGTGACATTTATGCTACAGATCAGAAAACTGGAATATTGTGGGTTTTTAAAACACTATTTTTATTACTGATGGAGTTTTTAGTACATATTTGTTCCTTTTTTTCTAGATAGTTATATTTTTAATTTGACTGATCATGCTTATGTGTTTGTGTTAGTTCCCATGTAAAGTGTGGAAGAATTTGAAAGGTGATAGCACTAATGATAATCAAGTATAAAGTAGTCTTGTGACAACTCATGCTTCAGAAAATCCTTGATCTTTTTAATTGCTGAGTAACCTGCCAGCCCTTTTAATGTTTTCAGTCAGTATCTATTCCATTTGTTGACCACACAGATATGAACTCTAGATCCCTTTGAGAGAATACCATGAAAGAGGCTACCTACCTACCTAACTCTATCCTGTTTAGCCGCCTATCAACGGTAGTCTATTTGGATTTTATAATATAACAATAAAATGAGACTTCCAAAACACACCCTGTCTCATCATTTCCATAATCTTTTCAAAGCTCACTATATTTATTACATTGTATTGATTTTCTATGAGTACTTATTGCCACTTCTCACAGAATGTCAGAAAAAAATTGCATTTTGACCATCGAACTTTAGCTGATATACATTCATGAGCTCAGTGATCATGATAACTAAGTGTTGTAATACTGTGAAACACTGAGCAGTGACTTGGATATAAAATTGAATCTTAAATATTAAAATGTGATTTATCCTTTGTGGATGGGCTCTCCAGAATGACCTGCTTTATTTACAGCTCTCTGAGACTCTTCTCTCCCCTTGATGCCTGCTGTCTGTCTGCACCAGTGATGAAGGTGTTGATGACAAGGTCCTTTCAAACAAAGGGCAATAAAGAACTGTGGGAAGTCTTGGGGGAAATGACCTTATCACGGCTTTACTACATGGCCTTTTTCAGATAGATTTTGTTTCAATTAGTCTCCAACTTCTGGCTAAATTGCTGACTTAGTTGAATACTACAAGGAATTGAAAGTTTAGTATCTTAAATTATTGAAACTATAAGAATGCTGTTGAAGCATTTTAATAATGACTTATCTAACCATAGCATTTTATTTTTATTGATTTAATTTAGGGAAAATAGGCCATGTTATCAGATCATTTTAATGGACAGTTTTTAATATTTTGGTGGCAAGATTTATATAGGTGTATTCAGGAATCTTGCTTAAAGAAAGGAGATTGCATTTTTGCTGCATTTCCCACAAGAATGGTTAATTGTCAGGTGTTAATTTGGTTCACTGTAATAACTTCTTTTTAAAAATAATTTATTTAACTTTATTTTATATGCATTTATGTGAAGGCATCAGATCCCCTGGAACTGGAGTTACAGATGGTTGTGAACTGCTATGTGGGTGCTGAGAATTGAACCCAGGTCCTCTGGAAGAGCAGCCAGTGCTCTTAACCTCTGAGCTATCTATCCAGCCCCCACTGTAATAACTACTTACTGTCTATATGTTTTCAATAACATCAGAGAACTTATTTAAAATATGAATGAGATTTCTCTCTCTCCTTCTCCTCCCCCACCCCTGTATGTGTGTGTGTGTGTGTGTGTGTGTGTGTGTGTGTGTGTGTGTGTGTGTGTGTGTGTGTGTGTGCATGCACATGTGTGTGTTGGAGGATGCACATGTGTACATGCTTGGGAAGGTCAGGAAAAACCAGGGTGTCATTTGTCAGGGGCCAACCACCATTTTGAAATAAGCATTGTATATATCTTTGCCCTTACAAGGAGAGTCAGCAATTATTTTTTAGTATTTTGGCCTCATGAATCAATGTCTTCCCATGGAAAAGATGCCTCATGTGGTAATTTGAATGTAATTGGCTCACATAGGTTCATAGTAAGTGGCACTGCTGGATGATGTGGCCTAGTTGGAGGAAGCATGTCACTGTGGGGATGGGCTTTGAGGTCTCCTTTGTTCAGGCTATGCTCGGTGTGGTACACAGTTCACTTCCTGTTGCCTGTGGATTAAGATGTAGAATTCTCAGCTACCTCTCCAGCAGCATGTCTACCTGTATGCTGCCTTGCTTCCTGCAATGACAATAATGGACTAAACCTCTGAAACTGTAAGCCAGCCTCAGTGAAATGTTTTTTGTTTGTTTGTTTGTGTTTTCATAAGAGTTGCTGTGGTCATGGTGTCTCTTCACAGCAATAAAAACCCTAAGACACCATCCTTAACATTAGCTTCTCATCCTGAAATCCATCTGTGCTGTATGTCACAGTTCAACACATGTGGTGATATCGTGTTCCCCAATATATTGTGCACCATAATAAACTTATCTGGGGTCAGAGAACAGAACAGCCACTAGATAGACACAGAGGCCAGAAAATGGTGGCAATCACACACACACCTTTAATCCTATCACTTGAGAAGCAGAGAGCCATCCGGATCTCTATGACTTCAAGGCCATACTGGAAACAGAGCCAGGCATGGTGGCACACAATTTTAATCCCAGGATTTGAGATCTGGTGTCTTGCTTGGGAAAGGCGCATGCCTTTACTCCCAGGAAGTGACGACAGGAAACAGAAAGATATATAAGGCTTGAGGACCAGGAACTAGAGGCTTTTGGCAGTTAAGCTTTATAGGCTTTTAGCAGCAGCTGAGATCCATTCAGATGAAGACAAGTAAATAAAATCATAATTAAAAAACAAAGAAAAGCTTAAGAAACACTCACTTAACATACACATAAACATGCAAAAAGAGAAATCATAATATACAAGCAAAGACCTGAAAGATAATGCCCAATTTAGCAATATGAGGCAAAATATGTCTACAAAAATACCATTGAGTTCATCTTTTTGGATGAGCCTGTCTTTTTACTGTGAGTTGCTTGTTACCTTTTTTTCTTTCAGTTAGTGGAAGTTTGGCATGTCTTCAAGGAAATCCCAGAGTTAGTGCTGACACACAAAGCTATTATATGTACAAGAAATAATGGGAGTAGTTTGGAGTACGAATCTCAACAAAGCATATTATTAATTTTGGAAGACTGAAATATTACATAATTTTGAAACATAACCAAGAATTATCTGATAGGACTTAAGAACCCAAGATATAAGCTTTGCTCTGTATGATTGATCATTTTCATGTGAAAATTTCCAAGAATCTGAGTAAATTTGAGAAATGTTAGAAAATCAGACATGAATGGCTTCCATTGTGAGAGGACATTTGCTTGTTTCCAGTGCACCTTTTTGTATACCTGAGCAATTCATCCTCTCAGTGACTTTAAAATCTCCTTTCTTGGTATATTTAGTATCCTTCAAAAATGCATTAGACCTTTTTTTCAAGTAAATTTGTCCCAATGATCACATTTTATTTATCAAGTTGACTGTTACCATCTTTTAAAAGCAATATATATATATATATATATATATATATGTGTGTGTGTGTGTGTGTGTGTGTGTGTACACATACACATGTATGTATGTGTGTGTCTATGTATGTATTTATGCGTGTATGTATATAATCTCCAAGAGTGTAAATATGCCTCACAT